TGGACTAAAGGAGCAGAGCGAGGACCCCTGAATTTCCCTAGCGATGCTGCTGATGCTGAAGGATGTGGGTGTGTCCAGGAACGCAGGGTGAGGGGAATTCTAGATAAAAAAGCAGCATGTCTGTGTTACCAGAATGAACAATGAGGAACCCAAAGGGCATGACAAACTCATTCCTCATGTTGTAACCAAACCTGCCTCCCCGAAATTTGCCAAACACTGGTTCTTTCTCTCCCTCTCCTTCTCCCTCCCCTTTCTGGCATGCTCTCTCTCTCTCTCTCTCTAACATTCTCAAACTTATGTCCTGAGGAAATAACCTAGGGTGATGTACGTGTTCCGTATCTGATTGGGGTGTTGGTCACACAGGTGATTATATTTGTCAAAACTCGTACTAGACATTGAAGAGCTGTGCATTTTACTCTACACAGCTTTACAAAACCAAAAGCAACCAAGCAACCAACTGATCAACAAAAACAAAAAGTGAACGTAGAATGAAAGTCAGAAATCAAGAGTGGTCCAAGCAGAAGAGGATCGTACTCCCTTCCTGCTGGTGTCTGTACCTCTATTAATGCATCCATTACTAACTGATTATGCTAGAGCAAGCTCAGCAGTATGGGGAACACCCATACCAGCGCCCCATAGTTTCTAATGTTTACCCAATGCCTGTGTGAGAAGCACGATGCTCTACTCACTAACTTTGTGGGTTTGGGCATATTTGTTCACTTCTCTGAACCCACTACAATACAGTGGGGGTAATAAAACCTACCTTGCCAGGGTTGAATGAGCTGATGCCATCAATTCTAATGTTATCCCCCTTCAACAGATTCCAAAACTGAGATACAAAGAGGCTAAGTAACTTGTCTAAGGTTTCAGCTGTAAACAGTAGGGCTTGGGTTAATACTAAGCCAACCTGATTGCAATTTGGTCTTATTCACTGGATGAGATTGATTGAATATCATATCGTATCTATTACTCTCTTCCCATCCCTCCCTCCGTCCCTGAATGCAAGAGCCCACTGTGCCCACCCCCAGCCCCCACGACCTCTGTCCTCACTCTGGACCTCAGTCACCTAGGATCTCTCTAGGATGGATGGATTCCATGTCTTCGAGGACCCTCTGGAGGCTTGAAGATAAGGATTCATGTTTACCAGCAATGACATCATGGGTCTGCTCTCTGAAGATCTGAGTTCACTTCTGGCTCAACCACACACATTTCAAAACACCCTACATGGTTCCAACCTCCACAAGCCTCACTTAGCCCATCTGCAAAACGGGATGTAACTGGGCACTGTTTTCCCAGAACTATCAAGACCCAGAGCCTGAGAAGGAAAAAAAACCAACATCAACCTCCCAGTGTAAGGTCAGAGAATCACCAGCAGCTGGGGCGGGTCTCCTGGTCCAGGCGTGGCCCGCCTAAGAGCACAAGTTCAGCTCGATCTCTGCCATGCCATTTCCACCTCCCGATTTCAGACGTTGCCTCTTTGGAGAGAAATTCATGACAATCAGCTTTCCCGTCCCTTAACGGCCTCATGAGGAGAAAGAACAAGAACTTGGGGGGTTCCTGCACGGGAGACCAGCTTAGCATCTTCTTGGCCACTGAACTCCATGACCTGCCTTTGTGCTCCCAGGGCAGGGCACAACGCGGGACCCTGCTATTTTCACCGGACACAGGACTCTCTCTAGAATAAAGACGGCATGTCCCAGACCCTCCTTCATCCGGCTGGGGTCGTGTGACCAAGTTCTGGTCAACAGGATGGGAGGCGCAGTGATGGCGTTTAAGCCTGGCAGGCAAGACGGCCGCCATCTTCCTGCACATGCGGAAAAGGCCCTCAAGCGTGGCAGAAGGACAAGACAGAAGCAACTTGGGTGCTTATCTGCCCTCGACAGCGTATGCAAGACTGTTCAGAGAGAGAAAAAGGTTTTTGTTTTTGTTTTTTTTGAAGATTTTATTTACTTGAGAGACAGGGAGAGTGAGAGTGAGAAGCAGACTCCCTGCTGAGCCGGGAGCCCGATGCGGGGCTCGATCCCAGGACCCTGAGATCATGACCTGAGCTGAAGGCAGACGCTTAACCGACTGAGCCACCCAGGCGCCCAAGAAGAAGGTATTTCTATTTTGTTTAAGGTACTACTCTGTTTTGGGGTTTCCTAACTAATATACAAGGGGAAACAAAATATTGATGGTGAACTGCCAGGTGGACAGGGGGACCGGTCCTATCTCCACCTGGTTCCTAACTCCCAAAGGTATAGAGAATGGGGGCCTGTATTCATTTGCTAGGGCTTCAGTGGCAAAGTATAGCAAGGTGGGTGGCTTTGAACAACACGCGTTTACTGACTCACAGTTCTGGAGGCTGGAAGTCAGAAATCAAGGTGTTGGCTGCGCCATGCTCCCTCTGAAACCTGTACGGAAAGATCCTTCCTTGCCTCTTCCAGCTTCTGGCAGCCCCAGATGCCCCGTGGCTTGTAGATGCATCCATCCAATCGTCCCTGGTCACGTGGCATCCTCCCTGTGTGTCTTCACCTCACCTTCCTGCTGCGCATGTCTGTCTCTGTGTCCCAACCTCCCGTTTGGTAAGGACACCAGTCATAATGGATCAGGGCCCACCCTAACGGCCTCATTTTAACCTGATTACCGCTGTAAAGGCCCTATTTCCAAATAAGATCACATTCTGAGGTGCCTGGGGTTAGGACTTCAAGATCTCTTTTTGGGGGAGGAGGCATGTTTCAACCTGTAACAGGGCCACACAGAAGGTAGGTAAGATTTCTGGGCCAGTCCTTTTTTTTTTTTTTAAAGATTTTATTTATTTATTTGAGAGAAAGAGAATGAGAGACAGAGAGCATGAGAGGGAGGAGGGTCAGAGGGAGAAGCAGACTCCCTGCCGAGCAGGCAGCCTGATGCAGGACTCGATCCCGGGACTCCAGGATCATGACCTGAGCCGAAGGCAGTCGCTTAACCAACTGAGCCACCCAGGCACCCTGGGCCAGTCCTTCTAAAGACTGGTGCAGGTAATGGAGCGGTCAGTACCTAAAAAACCGGAACACAGTGTGACAGCACCAGCCCAAGGCGAGCTGGTGATGTTAAGTACTAGGTAGCTGGGGTACAGTTTCAGGTGCTGCTCTAAGTGCTTCTCATACAAGAGCCCATTTATCCCTCAGCGCAACCTGCTGCAGGAAGCGGGATTATTACCCCATCTGATAGAGGACAAATATGAGGCACAGAATGGTTAAGTAACTTGGCCAACGTCACAAGGCATGAGTGGAGAGCTGGGATCTGAACCTAGATGGTCTGCCTTGAGAGCTGCGGTTGGAGGTTCTTCCAGGTTTCCCCTGCCCTAGGCGTCAGGGCAGGCCATCTCTTTCCAAGCCCTTTCCGGGTGGGGGAGTGGTGACAGACATTCCCACAGCCTCCACCACAAACTACGCACTGTTCTCTCCATCCCCACAGCACTGAACCCACCTCATGCATGTCCTTGCCCAGCCTCCTCCTGGACACCTCCAGTGTCCTGCCTCCAGTGCATCTCCCACATGGCCCTAGAGGAGTCTCTCCATCCTCCAGTGCCGTCCCTCCCCCTTTCCTGCTCACATTCCTCCCATGGCTCCCCAGCTCCCCCAGGAGAAAGCCAAGCTCCTTAACCTGGCCTTCGAAGCCCTTCGCAGAATGGCCTCTGGAACTAAGCAGGTGCCTTCCTCATTTGAGTTCCCGCTCTCCAGCTAGCTCAACCACCAGCAAGTACCAAGGACCAATCACAGCTGACAGCACCAGGATCTCCCTCCAGAACCTCCTGGAGGACCCCCTGGTCCTTCGCACGCATAACATGTATGCTGATCTCGGAGTCTTCCTGCAAACCCACTCCTCCTCCGGGGGTCCTCATCCATGGTCAGTCCTCACGGTTCACCCAGTACCGGACCAGATCCCCGGGGAGATTCTCCTCCCTCCTCCTTCTCCTCACCATCCCTCCCCCACCTGTCATCTCCAAACCCCATCCCTCAACCCCATCTCTCTTGCGTTTTCTTTCTGCCTTGTATCCTCCCCTGTGTCCCCACAGCCCCTGCCCCAGCTCAGCTCTCCTCTCCCTCTGCATCTTACCCCAGACTCCTCTCAGGCCTCCTCGCCTCCGGTCTCCCCACTCTAGTCCATCCCCCACACGGCCCCAGAAGGCTTTCTTCACTCAGGGCTGATCTTGCCCCCTCTCCTAATCAGGGCCATCCCATGGCTCCCCAGCACCCTGGGACAGCGTCAGCCCCCCTTGATATGCCCCCGCACACTCTCCAGCATCATTCTCGATGTATGTGCCTGTGGTCCTTACATTCCAGCGGCAGCCTCTCCTTCTGTAAGGAGGTCCTTAACTCTTCCGCCAAGCAGCACTAGCACGTGTTGTTCCTCCACATCGGATATGCCCGCAGAGCCTCAGAATCCAACTCCTGCTTCCAGGCACAGTTCAAACCTGTTCCCGACGCACACACTCACCCGGACCCTCCCTACTCGTACACGCAGAGGTCACCCGCAAGCACTGCCCCAATCTCCCCCACACAAGCAATGGTCTCTCCCAACCAGTTCCATCCCCCTCACCCGGACACACAGTGAGCCCGCCCACCCCTACCTCCCGCGTCCCCACCCGGTGAACTCGCCCATCCATCCAGAGGCCCCGCCTTCTTTCCTCCGCAGAGGTCTTCCAAGCCCCGTCCCACCTTTCAAACTAGTGTCTCCTGAAGGCCTCTCCTCTTCCAACTGTTTGGATCCCTTTATCCCGCGCCCCCTCCCCCCCCAGCATTTACCCCCGGATCAGTGGTCCCGCCCGGCGAAACGTCCCTGCCCTACCCAGGCCCACTCCTCCCACCCCTGTGCTGGAAACTTGGTATGTCCCGGGGTGGCCCACGGGAACGGGGATCGGGCGAGACCATTAGCCGAGGAGGGGGAGACGCAGCAAGGGAGTCCCTGTTCAACTACGGACGGTCGAGACCGCCGGCTCCCCTGGTGCCTTTCAGACTCGACCGGTGTCTCCCCAGACTTCGCCACCTCCCTATCGCTGCCCCCACCCCACTTAGTGCTGCGATCTTCACCCTTCCGGCCAGGTACACTGCGGTTCACGGGAGCCTCCCTTCACCGGGGGAACTCCGGGCAGAAGCGCCTCCGGTCGCCCCAACGTGCGTGCGTGGCGCATTTCCGGTAGCCTGGCTGATACCTGTTATGATGTTGATCCGGGCTAACAAATAAATGGGAGCCCCTCCCCATGGAGCGTCACCAAACGTTAACGCACACTTTCAGTCTCTCAGTAAAAGCAGGAAGGCTGATACATAATAACAACCAGTTACCGATGTGCTTGGCACGTACTAGACAGTATAAGCACATTATTTTCAATTCTCCAGCCAGCCTTGGTTAGTATTATCCCCATTTTCCACATGAAGACACTAAGGTTCAGAGAGGGGAAGCCTCAGCAAGTGCTGTGATAGAGCAGAATGGGAGCCAGCCCTGCACGACTCCATCCCTACTCGCTGCCTAATGAGAGCCGTTGGAAATGCAGGGACATATATGGGGCGCCTGGGTGGCTCAGTCGGTTAAGCGCCCAACTCTTGATTTCAGCTCAGGGTATGATCTCAGGGTCGTGAGATCAAGTCCTGTGTAGGGCTCCATGCTGGGTGTGGAGCCTGCTTAAGATTCTCCCTCTCCCTCTCCCTGTGCAGCCCCCTGCCATGCGCCCTCTCAATCTGTCTTGAAAGAGGGAGGGAGGGAGGGAGGGAGGGAGGAAAAGTGCAGGGGTGGAGGTTTGAGTTGGGGAGGACTCTCTGTTGTGTGTCCTTTGGCAAGTCACTGAATCGCTCCGACTTAATTTCCATAGCTAGGAAACGGGTGCCATGCCCACCTCCCAGGGTGTTCGGGGTGATGATAGAGGGCATCTCTTAGCTCTGCCACCCTCAGCACTGGCTTCATGCTCACGCTCTATCAAGATGCTCGCAAGCAGGTCTGGGCCTGACCATCCCATTCTGGGGCTTCTTAGGATTGAGAGCATGTTTAGAAGCCCCCCACCCTGAGCAGACCCATTGGCCAGGATTGGGTCACACGCCCGTTCTTAAACCATTCACTGGTACAGTGGCTGAGATTGGCCCAGACTACTCATTTGCCACGCTGGCATACTGGTCCAGATGAGGGAGGAAGAGGGCTGTTGGGGGGAGATGGATTCTTTTGGCCCCTCCATTCCATCTGGCCCCAGGAGGTCTTATTGATAGAATGGAAGAAGAAATGTTGGAGCACCTCAGGTTCTCTCCAAGTCTAGGCCTCCCCTCTCTCCCCGAAAAGCCAAGAACTCAGTGCAGAAACCAAAATAATACTGTTTTATTCCAGTCTTGAAGCACAATAGTCCAGACTGTTCCCCTCTTCCACTGGAGAGCCTCCAGCCCATCCCACCAGACCCCCCTCTCATTCAGTCTCTTCTGGGAATGACCAACCAGAAGGTCAAGGGGATCCAAGCCTCTGGGCTTTCGAGACTCTCAAATCACTCCCCTCTTGTTCCTTCTCTCCCCATCTCCCATACCTTTCCTTTCCGTGTGTTCTTTTTTTTTTTTTTTCCTCTGTCCTCCACCCTGGCCTCCTTCTCCCCTGCCTCCCTCTGCTTTTCCCCATTTCTGCCTCTCCTCTTGTCCTCTCTCCTCTGCTTATCTCCCTGCTAGTTTCTCTCTTCCCCCCACCCCCCACTTGTCCTCCTACAGTCCCCCTTGCTTTTCTCCTTCACCCCTGCACTCTCTGGAGTGACCATCTGTTCCTGCCTGGGCTCTCCCCATGTCCTGGTGTCTTCCCCTCCCCCAGCTTTGTAGCCTCCTTCCTTCTGCCCCCGTCTCATCACACATTTCCTCTCCTGAGGGAAGCCCTCAGAAGCCATCCTAGCCACCACCATCTTCCACACTGTGGCTCCAGGACCTCGGAGACCATTGTCAGCCCCCCCCCCC